TGTTGGTCGATTTTTTCGAATTGGATGCTGTATTTTTCAAAGAAAGTTTTAAACCAGGCTTCATAAGTTGTAAGATGGGGTTTGAGTGATGGGATTCTAAAGTCTCTTAAGAATTTTTCAGATAAAATGTTAAGAGTTGTGTTAATATTGAATCGATTGTCATTTTGGATTGTGAATTCAAGTTGTTTGGAGCTATGTTTAATATCAAAGTGAAGTGTAAATCATAATGGTTTAATGTCAAGCATATGGGCGAATATTGCGCATGTAAATCCAAATGTGATAATACTGTGATGAGATATGAAAATAAACAATTTTTATTGGATAGTAGATTGAATTATTTGCTTTTATAGTAATAGTCATCAAACAGTAATCAAACGGTAATCAAACTAAAAATCACATAATAAATTTAATTGGATAATTAAATTGTTTATATCACATTTGTGTTATATTGTCATTACTATTATTTGTACGTACGTACCTAATGTATAATAAGATTATTTTTAAAACTCCACTTATATCTGAAGCATTTTGTAATAGGAATAAAGTAAAAAGTTGCAAAACTACTCAAAATTCACGAACGCCAAATTATAAACATCAGAAAAAATTTTAACATAGTATAAATACAAACCAAAGTATACCAGTTAATATAACTTCAAATAAACTTGGATCTGAAAAAGAAAAAGCATTAACCGATACTTTTTGCAAGAACACTGGCTCTTTGAATCCTCAATTTAGCCAAATTGGATCAAAAAAAAATATATAACATCAGAAACAATTTGTGAAGACATTATGCCAACTTCTTTAAATCTTAATATAAGTGAACAAAGTTCGAAAAGTGAAGGTTAGTTTACAATATATTTATTATGAATATGTATATTTTATATATTACAATAATTTAATAAATATTTATATTGTAGAAATTTTGCTACAAGACTTATCAACTTATAAGAATAAGTGTATATTTTATAATAACTTTCCATATATTAGAGCTATGTATAGAACAGGTAGCAGAGATTTTTGGAAAACTTATAAAGTAATTAAACTTGGTTATTATCTACCCGTTTCAAAATTTACTCGCAAAATAAGTTATCAGATTCCCAACAACTATGAGATCAAAACTAATTTAGCAGGACTAACTGTAAGATGTAAAACCCAATATCAACAAGCTGGTAATATTAATTATACAATTAGTTGGATAAATTCCTATGGTAATACAGTATCAAGCGATAGTACAATTTCTGCAAGTAATGTTGGAGTTAAATTTTTAATGGTAATTATTGTATAAATTAAATAACAAATATTTACTGCATATTGTATTTTATATATCTTAATAAAAATATTTTATAGGATATTTGTAATAAACCAATACCCGTATTTCTGGAATATTTTTATTTGGATTTGATATTGATTATTTGCATAAAGCAAGAATGGAAGCACCTAATCATGGCAAGCATCCTTATATAGAATTAAAATTTAATTCACAAAAAAAAAAACGAATTAAGCTAGCAGCAAAAGATTTGAATATTCAAACAGCAGAACTTTTTTGTAATCATCAATTTGTTAATTTATTAGGCAATAATATAGTAAGGCTTGAATCAGCAAAGCTTAAGATTGCAAATACGGATATAACTCTTGATTATCAGCTTAAAAATGAAAATTAAAAACAATATTATAGTTCTCTTGTTCAAGTATGTGATAAAATGCTAATTTCTCATGATGGATATCAAAAATTAGCAGCTGTAGATACAAATATGGTTCGAGAATATTTAATTGAGCAGCAATGTATAGATATTAATAATCAAATGAAGCAACACTTACTATTAGTTTTGTTTAATATTAATGAGTATGCAAACAATATTATAGAAAATATAGATTTAAACAATACTAAAGATAGAAATGCTATATATAGATCGATTAGATCTTTATTAATGGTTTTAGTACCAGTTTTAACTACATCTAATCCGGTTGTTCTTCGTACTGGTGACAAAATTAATATTAAAGTTGGTGGAGATGGCCGAAATATTAGTAAAAAGCAAAGTCATATAATACTAGCAATTAGTATTTTAAATGAAGGTGAAGCAGTATTAAGTCCAAATCATATATATAGGTAAAATGATTATTATTACTATGATTGTATTTTTATTATTTATTTAATTTATTATTTTATTTTAAAGCATTTGTTTATATGTTGGCAAAGAAAATTACAATTCATTAAACTGTGTTTATCAAAAATTTACTCAAGAACTTGAAGAATTAAAAAGCATTGGATTTGTCGATAATTTAGGAACTGTATGGCTTATAGAATTTTTTTTTTCAGGAGATTGGAAGTTTTTAGCACTTGTATTAGAACTTAATGCAGCCAATTCAAATTATTTTTGTTTGTTTTGCAATTGCCATGAAAATGAATGTACTAATATGGAATTAAATTGGAATAATGGTTCAAATACACAGGGTAAGATATTTTTATTAGTATAAATAAATTTATTTAAATTTATATAATTATAATTTATAATTATGATTTATTAACAAATAGGACGCAAGCATTTAATGCTTTTTGAGATCATTGATCAAAGCAATTAGATATCTGATGTGCTACATACCATGTTACGTATAACGGATATTTTATTTTAATATGCTTTTTATGAACTTTCAGAAGATTGAAAAAATTTTGCTAAAACAACATGCCAATTAATAATTGCTAAGATGAAACGAATTGGAGTACATTTTGAATTTTTTTCTCTTACAACTAATTCAAGCCCATGGACATGGACTTCTTTAATGGGCCCTGACAAACTCAAAATATTACAACATTTTCAAATATCTAAATTTTTTAATTTGGATAGAGGAAAAGAAGTAGAACAACTTTGGCATGAATTTTACAGACTTTACAAAATAAAGCATCAACAAAATTTAACTGATATAGAAATTGATACATTTGAAATTGATACAAAACAATGGATTAAGGATTTTAGTTGACCTACAATTGGAAAATTAAATTCACCAAATCAACAGCAAGGAATGTATTCTAAAAAAAACATAACACCATATATGCATATGCTAGTTTAGCATATACCTAAATTTATGCGTGATTTAAAAAACAAAGGTTTATCATTGCACTTATTTTCAACTTCTAGTCTAGAAAAAAAAATCATGAACACGTAAAAACTATTTCTTTATTTAAACAATTTTTATATACTGTAATTTATTTTTATATTTACTAATATTGTATTCTATTTAGATACGACTTTTTTTTTCTGGAACAACAATGGGTAGAGGTAAAATTCATAAACCCATAGTATATGATATTATGGAATATGAAAATCGACAAATATATTATCAAATTCATAATATTCCTACAGCTTATTCACGCAAAGTTGTTAAAATTAAAAATTAAATTTTTAAATAAGGCTATACAAACTTAATAAATTGGTTCTTATAACCCGGCCGGGTCAAATTTCGCAAAATTCTTAAAAAATTTTTGACTATATTTACTATCCAGGTGAAATTTTTTAGAAGTTTATAAAAATTTTTATATGCTTTTTATATATAAAAATTTTTTGAAAATAAAATTAAAAGCTGGGTTGCCAGGTCATTTTTCAAAGTTTATGTTATGAGAACCAAAAAATTAACTTTGTATGGCCTAAGTATATAATTTAATAAAAATTTTATTTACTTATTCAGAAATAAAATCATGAACATCAATTTTAAATGAACAAGTCATTAAACTACATAACAAAGGATAATGATGTTTTCTGTATACATGTTCTTTCCAAACAAAATTAACTTGATATGTTCCAACCTTATTTTCCATCAAAACATAAGCAACCGTTCCTAATCCATCTTCTTTGCTGCCCTATTTATCGTCGTTTAATAAACTTCCTAATTCTTTATAACCTGTGCTTCCACTAAAACTAACTATATATTTTTTTTGTGATGCAATAAAATAAAATGTAGAAATATGGCAAAATAAAGTAATAAATAATCCTTCAGAGAAAGGTTCTAGTTGAATTGTTTTTTTTTTAACAATATTTCGACCAAACTGGAGCCGTTTTTTGACTTGAATAATAAATGCATTTCTAAACTGTTCAATATCGTAGCTTGAGGGAGCAATTAAAGTATATATATGCGGAATTATTTTATAGTTCTGATGTTTAGTTTTTTCATGTTTAACAAGAGAACTTTGAGATTGATATGGATAACGTAAGTTTGGTGGACAAAGATAGCAAAGATATATTGAACCCATTTGTCACAGTTGTCACAGGTACAGATATAAAAGTGATTTGTTTATACTAAATTTACAGTATTCGTTTATATATTAAATATATATATTAATCTGTAGATCAATTTTTAATTATCACCTCTAAAAAATCAAAATCCACCCATATGAGTTTTTTCATAAATTCTTCAAAATTGATGGTTCTATATTTGTGGTTTAGATAAAGATGTAAGCGAGCTAGGTTTATGGCAACTCTACATCTGTTAGTATGCGAATAAAGTGGGATAGCATAGTGTGATTGGAGGATATGAAGATAGTCTAGTTGTGTAAAGAAAACTTCTGTAAACTTGGAAAGTAAACCTTTGAAAGTATCATGAAAAGCTTTAAAAGGGATTGGTTTTGATTTATCAAAGTTAGGACTTGAGTTGATAATGAACTCTGACAAAGACTTAGGTTTTTTGCTTGCCATTTTGTTAAGAATATAGCTGAAGGAAAATTTGGCAGGTGGTCTGTTGTTGTTTTTGTTATTTCAGGTTTATTAGGAATGACTTGTCAAGAAATAAAGTCTCTAAATTTGGATTTCAAAAGGTTAAATAGTTGTAGGGTCAGTAGGGTGTTAAGTTTATTATGTTGTTGCATGGTTGGGGTAATTGGATAGTTTTTAAACCAGTTAAAGTCTTTGGAGGTGTCACGTTTTGAAGTATTTGCTTTTTGTTTAGTTTGTTTATTATTATTCACATTTTGTTTGTTGTTATTTATGGTTTCTTTTGAATTGGAGTTGTTGTTTGGTTGATTATTAGTATTTTTAGTCTTTTTGGGAAGCTTGTCCAAAAATTTTTTAAATAAACTGCATTTGTCTTCTGCAAATAGTTGAGAGAATTTGATTTTGTAGTAAAGACCACATTGTTCTCAGTTCATAGGGCTTGTAAATTTGGCTAGCTTTAGTTTGAGTTTGTGAATACATTAGAAGTTGGTAGGGAAGCTGCCAACTTCAGTTTTAAAAACCAGAGCTTTTGGATCTAGTGAATGTTTGTTGTCGGTTAACATGATACAGGATACATCTTTGGTTTTGCAAATAATACATGTATGTGCATGATGAGATTAGGCCATGAAAGAGATTTGATTATCAGTATCTTGTCTACTATTGCTGTAGCAGTTAGGAAATAGGTTAGCAATATTGTATTTGGGTTGGAAGGATGACTTTGGTACATTATAAAGGAATTTGTAGAGTTTAGCATCTAGATCAATTTCCATTGAATTAGATGGCTCAGTTGCTGCTATGGAAATGGTATCAGAGGTAAATGATAAGCATAAATGCTGTGAAGCAAAGTATGTATGGTATTTTCTACAGAGACATCTTGAGATAATAGGTTGAGTAGGGCTGGAGAAGAAGTGGTAGCCATTATTAATATCACATTGTGTAGAATTGAAGTTAGTTGGAAGGACTTTGAAGCTTTTATAGTTTTTGTCTGAAGTAACTAAAGTTCGGCTACTATATTTGTTTTGGAGAATATCTAGGTCGAAGGAGTCTGGTTCAATAGTGGTAATGCTAGGCATATTGTGTAACTAGCCTTATATAATATTTGTACTAGTGAAAAACAATTTTCAAATCAGATTGAAAAATCTGATTTTCATATAAAATTTTTTAATTTGGAGGCTTTACAGATAAATTAGAAAGGATTTGCGAAATGTGGAACTAATAGAAAGGCTAATTGGATGTTTAGGAAATTTTAATGGGTGCCAGAAAAGTGAATTTTCTAGGGCAACCCAATGAATTTTCCTAAATTAACCAATAAAATAACCTGCAAAAGCAGATTTTAGTTTTGCCTTTTTTCTAGTATCTTAGTGAGTTTTGGTTTATTTGCTATATAATATATATCAAAATGACCGAAATGAAGTGCATGTTATTTTTCTAATAGGTAACAAGGTTTAATTAATTAATAAAATATTGAGCAAATCAGCAAAACCAAAATGTTGGTTTTTGCAACTTTTCTCAGTGACCAAGTGTTGCAGGAGCTTAAAACTTGGCCGACTAGAAGAAGAAATGTGAGCTGAGCAACTTTACTTAGAGATACAAGTAAGGTTTACTTAGTAAAATATTGAGAAATAATTAAATGCTTTTAGCAAAAATTTGGTACAAGTGATCTATGAAAAGAGTTACAGAATTGGTCTTTTATATCATTTCTATTATATCTATTAGTTTTTATTACTATAAATAGCATTTATTAGCATTAGAGTAGTCTTTATTGTAATAATTTATATATGTAAAATATCTATAAAAGCACTACTTTCTGACTCTTCAAAAAAGTTAAGTGTCTTCATATATTTCATAGTTAATAAACTGAATGCAATATTTAGTATCTTCATATACTATCTATTGT